TTTGAAATTTTCAAAGTAAATATTTCTCGAGTTTCGGTTTTTTTCGAAAAATGTGATAACTTTTTTGATTTTTGTCGTACAAAAATGTGTCTAAAGGAAAAGTTGTTTGTTTTTGCACAAAATATAAGGAAAATAGCATAAAAGCAGATTTTACCAAAAATTGACAAAAATACCAAATTTTGAAATTTTCAAAGTGAATATTTCTCGAGTTTTGGTTCTTTTTTCGAAAAAATGTGATAACTTTTTTGATTTTTGTCGTACAAAAATGTGTCTAAAGGAAAAGTTGTTTGTATTTGCATAAATTTTGAGGAGAAAAGCAGAAAAGCAGATTTTATTAAAAATTGACAAAAATACAAAAGTTTGAAATTTTCAAAGTAGATATTTCTCGAGTTTTTGTACTTTTTTCGAAAATTGTGATAACTTTTTTGATTTTTGTCGTACAAAAATGTGTCTAAAGGAAAAGTTGTTTGTTTTTGCACAAATTTTGAGGAAAAAAGCAGAAAAGCAGATTTTACTAAAAATTGACAAAAATACCAAAGTTTGAAATTTTCAAAGTAGATATTTTTCGAGCTTTGGTTTTTTTCGAAAAATGTGATAACTTTTTTGATTTTTGTCGTACAAAAATGTGTCTAAAGAAAAAGTTGTTTGTTTTTGCACAAAGTATAAGGAAAAAAGCATAAAAGCAGATTTTACTGAAAATTGACAAAAATACCAGAGTTTGAAATTTTCAAAATAAATATTTCTCGAGTTTTGGTACTTTTTTCGAAAAATGTGATAACTTTTTTGATTTTTGTCGTACAAAAATGTGTCTAAAGGAAAAATTGTTTGTTTTCGCACAAATTTTGAGGAAAAAAGCAGAAAAGCAGCTTTTATTAAAAATTGACAAAAATACCAAAGTTTGAAATTTTCAAAGTAAATATTTCTCGAGGTTTGGTTCTTTTTTCGAAAAATGTGATAACTTTTTTGAATTTTGTTAATCGAAAATGTGTCTAAAGGAAAAGTTGTTTGTTTTTGCATAAATTTTGAGGAGAAAAGCAGAAAAGCAGATTTTACTAAAAATTGACAAAAATACCAAAGTTTGAAATTTTCAAAGTAGATATTTCTCGAGTTTTGGTTTTTTTCGAAAAATGTGATAACTTTTTTGATTTTTGTCGTACAAAAATGTGTCTAAAGGAAAAGTTGTTTGTATTTGCATAAATTTTGAGGAGAAAAGCAGAAAAGCAGATTTTATTAAAAATTGACAAAAATACAAAAGTTTGAAATTTTCAAAGTAGATATTTCTCGAGTTTTTGTACTTTTTTCGAAAATTGTGATAACTTTTTTGATTTTTGTCTTACAAAAATGTGTCTAAAGAAAAAGTTGTTTGTTTTTGCATAAATTTTGAGGAGAAAAGCAGAAAAGCAGATTTTACTGAAAATTGACAAAAATACCAGAGTTTGAAATTTTCAAAATAAATATTTCTCGAGTTTTGGTACTTTTTTCGAAAAATGTGATAACTTTTTTGATTTTTGTCGTACAAAAATGTGTCTAAAGGAAAAATTGTTTGTTTTTGCATAAATTTTGCGGAGAAAAGCAGAAAAGCAGATTTTATTAAAAATTGACAAAAATACCAAAGTTTGAAATTTTCAAAGTAAATATTTCTCGAGTTTTAGGACTTTTGTCGAAAAATTGTGATAACTTTTTTGAATTTTGTTTTACAAAAATGTGTCTAAAGGAAAAGTTGTTTGTATTTGCATAAATTTTGAGGAGAAAAGCAGAAAAGCAGATTTTATTAAAAATTGACAAAAATACCAAAGTTTGAAATTTTTAAAGTAGATATTTCTCGAGTTTTTGTACTTTTTTCGAAAATTGTGATAACTTTTTTGATTTTTGTCGTACAAAAATGTGTCTAAAGGAAAAGTTGTTTGTTTTTGCACAAAATATAAGGAAAATAACATAAAAGCAGATTTTACTGAAAATTGCCAAAAATACCAAATTTTGAAATTTTCAAAGTAAATATTTCTCGAGGTTTAGTTCTTTTTTCGAAAAATGTGATAACTTTTTTGAATTTTGTTTCACAAAAATGTGTCTAAAGGAAAAGTTGTTTGTTTTTGCACAAATTTGAAGGAAAAAAGCATAAAAGCAGATTTTACTGAAAATTGACAAAAATACCAGAGTTTGAAATTTTCAAAATAAATATTTCTCGAGTTTTGGTACTTTTTTTGAAAAAATGTGATAACTTTTTTGATTTTTGTCGTACAAAAATGTGTCTAAAGGAAAAGTTGTTTGTATTTGCATAAATTTTGAGGAGAAAAGCAGAAAAGCAGATTTTATTAAAAATTGACAAAAATACTAAAGTTTGAAATTTTGAAAGTAGATATTTCTCGAGTTTTAGGACTTTTGTCGAAAAATTGTGATAACTTTTTTGAATTTTGTTTTACAAAAATGTGTCTAAAGGAAAAGTTGTTTGTATTTGCATAAATTTTGAGGAGAAAAGCAGAAAAGCAGATTTTATTAAAAATTGACAAAAATACCAAAGTTTGAAATTTTGAAAGTAGATATTTCTCGAGTTTTTGTACTTTTTTCGAAAATTGTGATAACTTTTTTGATTTTTGTCGTACAAAAATGTGTCTAAAGAGAAAGTTGTTTGTTTTTGCACAAATTTTAAGGAGAAAAGCAGAAAAGCAGATTTTACTAAAAATTGACAAAAATACTAAAGTTTGAAATTTTCAAAGTAAATATTTCTCGAGTTTTTGTTCTTTTTTCAAAAAATGTGATAACTTTTTTGAATTTTGTTAATCGAAAATGTGTCTAAAGGAAAAGTTGTTTGTTTTTGCATAAATTTTGAGGAGAAAAGCAGAAAAGCAGATTTTACTGAAAATTGACAAAAATACCAAAGTTTGAAATTTTCAAAGTCGATATTTCTCGAGTTTTGGTTTTTTTCGAAAAATGTGATAACTTTTTTGATTTTTGTCGTACAAAAATGTGTCTAAAGGAAAAGTTGTTTGTATTTGCATAAATTTTGAGGAGAAAAGCAGAAAAGCAGATTTTATTAAAAATTGACAAAAATACAAAAGTTTGAAATTTTCAAAGTAGATATTTCTCGAGTTTTTGTACTTTTTTCGAAAATTGTGATAACTTTTTTGATTTTTGTCGTACAAAAATGTGTCTAAAGAAAAAGTTGTTTGTTTTTGCATAAATTTTGAGGAGAAAAGCAGAAAAGCAGATTTTACTGAAAATTGACAAAAATACCAGAGTTTGAAATTTTCAAAATAAATATTTCTCGAGTTTTGGTTCTTTTTTCGAAAAAATGTCATAACTTTTTTGATTTTTGTCGTACAAAAATGTGTCTAAAGGAAAAGTTTTTTGTTTTTGCACAAATTCGGAGGAAAAAAGCAGAAAAGCAAATTTTACTGAAAATTGACAAAAATACCAAAGTTTGAAATTTTGAAAGTAGATATTTCTCGAGTTTTTGTACTTTTTTCGAAAATTGTGATAACTTTTTTGATTTTTGTCGCACAAAAATGTGTCTAAAGAGAAAGTTGTTTGTTTTTGCACAAATTTTAAGGAGAAAAGCAGAAAAGCAGATTTTACTAAAAATTGACAAAAATACTAAAGTTTGAAATTTTCAAAGTAAATATTTCTCGAGTTTTTGTTCTTTTTTCAAAAAATGTGATAACTTTTTTGAATTTTGTTAATCGAAAATGTGTCTAAAGGAAAAGTTGTTTGTTTTTGCATAAATTTTGAGGAGAAAAGCAGAAAAGCAGATTTTACTGAAAATTGACAAAAATACCAAAGTTTGAAATTTTCAAAGTAAATATTTCTCGAGTTTTGGTTTCTTTTTCGAAAAATGTGATAACTTTTTTGATTTTTGTCGTACAAAAATGTGTCTAAAGGAAAAGTTGTTTGTTTTTGCACAAAGTATAAGGAAAAAAGCATAAAAGCAGATTTTACTAAAAATTGACAAAAATACCAAAGTTTGAAATTTTTAGTGTAAATATTTCTCGAGTTTTGGTACTTATTTCGAAAAATTGTGATAACTTTTTTGAATTTTGTTTTACAAAAATGTGTCTAAAGGAAAAGTTGTTTGTTTTTGCACAAATTTGGAGGAAAAAAGCAGAAAAGCAGATTTTACTGAAAATTGACAAAAATACCAGAGTTTGAAATTTTCAAAATAAATATTTCTCGAGTTTTAGTACTTTTTTTGAAAAAATGTGATAACTTTTTTGATTTTTGTCGTACAAAAATGTGTCTAATGGAAAAGTTGTTTGTTTTTGCACAAATTTGGAGGAAAAAAGCAGAAAAGCAGATTTTATTAAAAATTCACAAAAATAACAAATTTTGAAATTTTCAAAGTAAATATTTCTCGAGTTTTGGTTCTTTTTTCGAAAAATGTGATAACTTTTTTGATTTTTGTCGTACAAAAATGTGTCTAAAGGAAAAGTTGTTTGTTTTTGCACAAAATATAAGGAAAATAGCATAAAAGCAGATTTTACCAAAAATTGACAAAAATACCAAATTTTGAAATTTTCAAAGTGAATATTTCTCGAGTTTTGGTACTTTTTTCGAAAAATGTGATAACTTTTTTGATTTTTGTCGTACAAAAATGTGTCTAAAGGAAAAATTGTTTGTTTTTGCACAATTTTTGAGGAAAAAAGCAGAAAAGCAGATTTTATTAAAAATTGACAAAAATACCAGAGTTTGAAATTCTCAAGGTAAATATTTCTCGAGTTTTAGGACTTTTTTCGAAAAATTGTGATAACTTTTTTGATTTTTGTTTTACAGAAGTGTACCTAGAGGAAAAGTTGTTTAATGTTTAATTATGTATACTTATTAAGTGGGTTTTTTAAATTTTATTATGAAACTTTTAAAAAATCTCTATTTGAAAACAAAGCAATTTTGTAATTTGCATAATAATAATAGTAAATTGAATATCACGTTCAAATGAAATATGAAATTAATAATTTTGTTGATTAGAAAAGAAAATCGTTTATGGAAATTTGTCATCTCTTTGTTTTCAGACGCAGTGACGAAATCGGCAATGTTCTTCTTTGCGGCAACACTGCTACTGGTGATTGCCGAAGTTTGCTACTTCGCTACACACGTTACCCGTCCAAAACCCAGACTCTGCGTATTCGTCGCCGGGGTGGTTTTCATAGTTTCCGGTGAGTGAGCCGGAAGGCAGACAATTGTATCAAAGCATGAACTATCAGAGGATTTGAACAAACTTCCCACTTTGGAACTTTGCATTGGAATCTAGGGGCGATTTTCGACTTTGAGAACTTTATATATTATATACATTGGCCTTTTGATGTGGTTTGTTTTTTTCTTTCAATTTTATATATTTTTCTTTTCTATCTTTCCTGTTTATTACTTTTTCTTCTCTTTTCCCTTTACTTTTATATTTCTCCTTTTTTTGCTCTCAATACTTTCTTTGATCTTGACGTTCTCATTGAATTTTTTTTACCTTTTTCTACTGCAAATTTTTTAATATACAGAGAAATAAATTAAAATCCAAGGGGAAAATTTTATTGCGTTATAAAATGAAATTATCGTATTTACGAATATGGGAAAGAAACATGCATATTTGTAATGAAAAATCTATTTGAAAACTTATACACTTTTTGTAATGAAAAATCTATATTTAAATCTATTTTTATTATACTTTTCTTAAGAATTTCATTCAAGATTATTTTGGAAAAGATTTTTTTTTTATTTTAACTTTCAGAGAAGTCTTTTCTTATTTTATTTGGTGTATATATGTATAGTTTATGTTTTGTTCTCTAGCGGTGAATAAAATTTTAGTTGCATATCGAAATACTGTGTGTTTGAAGGGCTTTTGAAAAAGTAGATCCATTTAATGAAAATCCTATAAAATTCTCTGGGCAAAATTCTTTTCAACAACCTCTTTTTCAGGTCTCCTGATGCTTGTTGGCATGGTAATGTACATTTCCGTTTTTAAGGCTGAAGTGGGAAGCAAGCTCAGGGCAAGATCCTCTTTTCAGGTCAGTGGACCTTTGATTGAAAAAATCAAATTATAAATATCCATGGAGAGAAATTAATTAAAATTGACAGTTTCATTTTGATTATTTTTGAAAATTTTGTGTATTTATTTATTTGTTTTATTCTTTTTTTAAATAAATAAACAATTGATGACTTCTAAAAATTGCAATTTCTTTTGTTTTCTTTTTTTATATTTTTTTGTTTTTTCTTGAATTGTTTAAAAAAAAACTTACCGAAAGAAAATATTTATTCAAAATACATAAATAACACAATAACAAAATAACAAAATAACAAAATAAATAACAAAATACATAAATTTTTCACCATACATAACTTTTAATCGAGATTAAAATTTTCGATATTAATTTTCTTTTTTTTGCAATTATTTATTCAGATGGAAAAAAGAAATTCCACTCGTTTCATATAATATTTATATTCTTACTGTTTGCAAATGAATAAAAAAATATTGATTTAATGTTTTTATTGAAGGGACCACCTTTTAGCTACAAGTACGGTTTCTCATTTTTACTTTACGTTAGTGGATTTGTCACAACGGAAGTAGCTGGCACATCGGCTATTTTTTTATACATCTCCTGGCACCAGCGAGAGCTCGTGAATGACAACTCGAGGCGTAAAAATTATGCGGTTGGTAAAATAAATCTTTAAAAAGAAATGAAAAATAAAGAAGAAAATCATCCCAGTTTTTATTTCATTCATTTTATAGTTTGAAAGAAAAAATATGTTTTCTCGAATACCACACGGAAAAAAAAGGAATCTTTTTTATTGAAAAGAAAATTATTTTAATAAAATTAAAAATTATTTTTTTAAAGCAAATTATTCTTTTTAATAAAAAACTTGACGAAAGAATTTTTCAATTAAACTAATTAAATTATTAAAATTACTAATTGAATTATTAAACTTATTATTTGAATTAAATAATTGAAATAGTTAATTAAAAAAAATTTTCTTTCGACAAATATTGAAATGGAAATAATTTTCAAATTCTTTTTACAGGGAGTTTATCATTTGGACAATCATCTTCAACATGGTAATTATCATAATCATGGGCATGGTGGATTTTTGTGCGAGAGACATCAAAAGAGGTATTTTTTTGGAAGAGATTCCGTGGATCAAGTTGATTTTGATGAATTTCTCCCACCACCACCAAGTGTTGATTATCACGAATACACCAGAAATCTTCCTCGAGATCTTACGACACAAACGGTAAATAATTATTGTAATTAATTTTGTTAATTATCTCCCACTAATCAGAAATATTTTTATAGGCAATTGAAAAAATTATAAGAAATCTAAAAATACTTCAAAATTACAGACAAAAATTAATTAATCACTGAATCATATTTGCTAACTAAATATTATTATGACATTCTTTGGAAGAAATCAATTATTTTTTTAAATAGTTATAAAATTTTTTGCAAAAATTCAATTTTTTTCTAGAATTTTAATTAATCCTTCGAAACAATTCATTTCTTTTTTAAAATAGTAAAATTAGAGCGAAATATCAATTATTTCCAATAAAATTTCAATTATTCTCTAAAATTTTAATAAATCTTTCGAAAGAATTCAATTATTTTTTTAAATAGTAAAATTCTTTGCAAAAATTTAATTATTTTCTAAAATTTTTAATAAATCCTTCGAAAGAATTCAATTATTTTTATAAACAGTAAAATTCTCTGCAAAAATTCAATTATTTTCTAAAATTTTAATAAATCCTTCGAAACAATTCAATTATTTTTTTAAATACTAAAATTTTTTGCTAAAATTCAATTATTTTCTAAAATTTTAATAAATCCTTCGAAACAATTCAATTATTTTTTTAAATACTAAAATTTTTTGCTAAAACTCAATTATTTTCTAAAATTTTAATAAATCCTTCGAAACAATTAAATTTTTTTTAAAATAGTAAAATTAGAGCGAAAATTCAATTATTTTCAATAAAATTTCAATTATTTCCTAACATTTTAATAAATCCTTCGAAATAATTCAATTATTTTTATAAACAGTAAAATTCTTTGCAAAAATTAAATTATTTTCAATAAAATTTCAGGAAATAATAAAATTTTTTCTCAATTCGTTCTAAAATCTTCGCGAAAATTCAATTATTTTCTAAAATTTTAGTAAATTTTTTGAAACATTTCAATTTTTTTAAATATTTAATATTTATATTTAATATTTTTTATTTTCATATTAATTATAACAATTTATAGTAATTTTTTAACTGATAATAAATTATTTATGTTTTATTTAATAATAACTTCGGGGAAAGTAAAAAAAGTAGATAAATAAATAAATTATAGATTACTTATTAATTAATTAATTGTTAAATAATCAATTACTTATTAAACGATAAATTATTTATTAACTATATTAGAAATTATTTAATTGGTAAATGCTAATTTCGAAAAAGTGAATTAATTAATTAATTAATGTTTTAATTTTTTCCTTTGACAATGAGTGTGTTGAGCAATTAGAAATAATCAGTGGCACTTAATTATTTTCAGGTCAGTACGACCGCTGATGTATTACAAGAGGAATATAGTCCAAGTGTTCATCATGAATTTGTAACCTTCTCCCTCGAAGAACCTCTTCCGCCCATGCCAGTCAGATCGGAGTGGCCCCTTGACACTCTGAGAAGAACAACCCCCGTCTGATATAGTGTCAGGTAAAAGCCTTCAATTTATCTTCATCGCATAATTCATCCTTTTTTTTCTCCACATTTAATCCTCTGACTTTGAATCCTCTTTCTTAATTATTCATTATATATAATCAACTTTCCAAGAATGGGATTATATAATCTTCTTTTAACAAAGTCCATAACTTCTTTCGAGTATAATCCTCTTTTTCACTCGTCGCCCAAAAAAAAGGAAAAACAATTACCTAATTATGCAAAATCAAATTAAAATTTTTTAATTTTTTTCAAATACAAAGGGAAAAGTTCAAAAGAATAGAAATTAATTATAATTATTATTTTTTTTGTTAATTATCAATTAAAATAAAAAATAAAATAATAGATATATTATAATTATAATTTGTAATTAAGAAATTTTATTATAAAAATTATCAAAACAAAAATTAACTATTAATTACTAATTAAATTCTTAATAAAAATAAAAATAAGAAATAAAAAAATAAAATAATAGTAAATTGTTATAATTTGTAAATAATATTGTAAAAATATGATTTGAATTTTCCCGGAATTATAATTAATTATAATTGCATTTTAATTGTAAAAATTGTGAAATTCAAAATATTAACTAGTTACTATGGTATCTAATTTTATCCTCTTATTTAAATAAATTCTTCATTAAAATAAAATTAAAAAATTAAATAATAGTATTAATAAATTATGGTAATTTTGTAATTATAAATTGTAAAAATTAAATTTTAATATAATTAATTAATTTGTAAATAACATTGTAAATTGTAATAGTAATTTTATTGTGAAAATTGTACCTAAGAACAATATTAACTATTAATTAAATTCTCCCCTCCCCCCTTGTTTAACTAAATTCTTTATTGAAATAAAATTAAAAAAATAGAATAACAGTAATAATAAATTTTGCCAGTTCAACAAAATTGAAATAAATAAATTAATTAAATTTTTCGTTGCAGATACGCGAAGCTGATTCAAGGCTTCGAGACAGACTCGAGCGACGAGCAAACCGAATACGAAACTGAAAATCAAAACGAAGAAATTTCAGTTCAAGAAGATAATTACGATTTTGATTCAGAGGAAAAACAAAAACTCTGTGACCAGTGAATCAGTGTAACAGAATATTAGAGACAAAAAAACTAGTTTCAAATCTAAAAAACAGTGATTCAAAACTCGTATCGAGATAAGGGAAGAAAAGACTGATTTTTCAGGAAAGAAAAAAAAGAATCCTCAATAGAAAAATCTTTATATTATTTAAATCGTTAAAAAAAAAATCGATTCGAAAATCGAATTTTTACCCATTCAAGAAAAAAACGTGCCCGAATTTTTTAATATCTCTTCGATATTTTTTTCTGAAATTTATTTTCAAGATTTATTTTCTTATTTTCTGCTGTACTTTTTTTTCTACATAGAAGCGTTAAAAAATTATAAAAAAAAAAATAAAATAAGAATTAAAATATAGAAAATAAATTTTCAAATTTCACATTTTAAATTCTTGACCGTGGCGAGTTCCGAAAATATTTTCAAATTAGCGCAATTCGCCAACATAAACAAGACTATTTCACTTTTGTTGATCAGCGAGTTAATAAATAACGATGAAGGTAAATCAACATTTTCAAATTTATTACTTTTTAGCTACTGACAATTTTAACTGTGAGAAAAAAAAATAATGTAGTATAGAAAGAAAGACACGTTTCAATGGAAAATCAATAATATTAAAAATTTATTTAATAGTAATTATTTATTTATTATTTATATTTTTAACTAATTTTTGACATAGGCGAAAAAAAGTCCAGCAACTATATTTTTCAAATTAACTGAAAACTGTACAGGAATATAGTTGCAAATTATAATTTTACAAGTTCGCCTACAATTTTTATTGTAATTTCAAATGTTTTCTTTTGTTTTTTTTTCTTTTTATTTATTTACATTCTATTTACATTTCTATTCTTACTTCATTCTATTTACAGTGATTTACAGTCTATTATTTATTATTGTATAGACGTTTATTTAATTTGTTTCGATTTATTATCATTTAACAATAATTTCTCTATTATTATTGAATAATCATTTAATATATTTTCTGATTATAATTATTTAACGACTAATTATAAATTCTTATTTGTCAATTTAATATTATCTTTTATTATTCATTATTTATTATTTGTTGTTTATTATTTATTAATTGTTGTTTATTATTCATTATTTCTTGTTTATTATTAATTATTTCTTGTTCATTATTAATTAGTTGTTATTTATTATTCATTAATTATTATTTGCTCTTTGTTAATCGTTATTTATTATTTTTTCTCTATCACTCAATACTATTTTTTGTTTACTTATTAATTAAATAATTAATTAATTAATTAATTAATTAATTAATTATGATTATGATTATGATAATAATTAATAATAGCTAATTATAAATTCTTATTTATCGATTCAATTTTATTTTCTATTATTCATTTGTTTATTACTAATTATTCATTATTTGTTGTTAATTTTTTTGGTACTATTGTTTCCTGTCTATCAATAGGAAATTATTATTACATGAAAGATTGTAATCTTCAGTGAGAAAGACTAATGAAATTTATAAATCAAAAAAAATTTTCAGAGTAAATTATACATAAAGTGTAATTCAATTTTGTAAACGTAAGAAGACTTGTTTAAAACTGCCACGAAAATAAAATACTCCTTTGTACATATACACGAAACATAAACTGAAAAATTGTTATACAAATTTTTCATAATCGGAAAATAAAATTTTACCTTGACATGATTTTTTCTTTTCACTTTCTACTTAATTAATTTAATACCAAATAAACGAATGAAATGGAGAATTTAATCATGAATTATAATATAATATTCAAATTATTGTCTTTATTAATTTATTAATAAAGAAAAAATTATTAATGTAAAAAAATAATAATAAAATTATTATAAAAATAAAATAAAATTATTATAAATATAATAATAAAATTATTATAATAATAAAAATTATAATTATTATAATTATTATAATTATATAAACGATAGTAGCAATATAATAAAAATAAATCGCCAAACAGCGCAGGGAAAATCGAAACAGAATAATAAAAAAATAATCACTAAAAATTGTAAATTAAATTTTGAAAATTGAAAATAATGACAAGAATAACAGTATAGAAAAATTTCAAAAGATTTTCTAACTATAAGAAATAAGATCAAAAGTGAATAATTTAAGATTTTTATTCTCTTTAAGTACTTATAGAAATGCTTACAAAGTATTTCATGAAATATATTTGGTGTGAATTATTAATTTATTATTAAATAATTCATTAGTTTTTTCTTATACACATTTTTTTTATCAGTGTCGTAAAAATAGTCAACAGCACAAATTGATAAATAATTACCAAATTTGTTTTTTTCTTTGAACACAATTCAATATATTGTCGCTTCGAATCGACAATCCCTATTGTTAACAAAAATTCACGAAAAGTTTAATGAAAAAAAAAAGATTCATTTTTATTTGATTCAAATAATCAATTCTCTGAATTATCGAAGAATTTTTTTGTAATTGTAATTAAATACTTTTGAATAATTCTTATTGTAAAAAAATTGTAAATAAAAAAATTTATTGTAATTTATTTAATTGTAATTAAATATAATTACTAGGCAGAAATATTTATTTGTTTCCAGTAATTTATAATCAATTAATATAATTATTAATTGATTATAAATTACTATTAAATATTAATTATAAAATTACTGACAAATTATTAACAATTAATTAACAAATAAGCGCTGTTTCGATCGCCAGTAATTTTCTCATTTTTTCGGTTTTAATTTTCAAAATTTAATTAACTGATAAGACTGATAATTAATAATTTCTCATCATTTGTTTAAAATTGAATATTTCTTCGGTAATAGTAAAGAAATTGATTATTTGAATCAAAAGATATTTTTTCAATATAAATTTCCAAATGAATGAAAATCGATTAAAAAATGAAATATGTACAATTAATGTCAAAAATATTCGCTAATTTCGGAAAATATTGGATAGAAACAGAAAGTAAAACATAATTTCTAAGAACCATTTTAATAAATATTTTTTTTAGTTTTTAAAATCAATATAATTTTCCTATTGAATTAAAAAAAGGAGATTAAATACAAATGTACGTTTTTTAATTTTTAAAGTCAATATAATTTTCTCGTAGAATTTTTTTTGAATTAAAAAAATAAGATGAAATACAAATGTATTGAAATATTTTTTTTAGGTACTAAATTTTCGAAAAAAATTACTTAGATAATAGAAACTTTAGCATTTTTGTGATGTGATAATTGCTTTTTATTGCAAAAATTGCTAAATAACATGTGAGGTAAAAAAGGTTTACTTCAGCAATAACATAAATAGCTAATAGTATATATATATATATATATATATATAATAATCGCAATATTTGAATAATGTCTAATAATTTTTTTTTGCGAAGGCTTATAAAATCACAATTTGTATGAGTTTTTTTTTTATTTATTTTTTTTTTTTTTTATTCGGAAGTGAATGACTAGGAAATATATTCTTAATTAATAAACAGTCCGAAAAAATCGATGACTGGAAGGGACTAGAGTTGACTAGAGAATAGAAATATATATTTATTTATTTATGTATGTCGCAAAAATTTTCAAGAAAAAAGATGGCGAGAGAGGAATAGAGAAATAGAAGATATTACATTAAAATAGATATATCATGTGTTATGTATAAGAGAAATATTTTCGAGATTGATAAAAAGTATATATCTATATATCTATTTATTATTTAACATTTCTAAAAAGATGAAGAAATATGCTTCTAAAATTTTTTTTTTCTTTTCGTGGCACTTTTTTCTCAGATGAAGAAAAAGGTAGCTGTGTCATTTTTTTTTCGTTAGTTTTGATAAGTTTTTTGTAAAGTTGTTTGAATTTGAAATTTCTTTTTCGAAAAAAGAAATTCTGAAAAGCAATTCTCGAATCATTCTAGAAATTCAAAAAAAAAAATGTTAATTGAAATAAAATTCAAAAATAGTAAATAAATTCAAATATTTATTTTTGGAAAAACGGAAATTCGAATTTTATATTTTCTATTTAATTAATTAAAAAAAATGAAAATAAATTTATTCGAAATTTATATTTTCTTTTTAATTTCAAAATATTCTGAATTAGATTTTTTTCTATTTTTATTTTTTATAGAAAAAAAATCAAAATCTAACAACTTTACTTTTTTTCGTTTGTTTTTTTTAAGACGAGTATTTTTGGCTTAATTTCGAAAAATTAAGAGCGCATTTTCATTTTTTTTTTGTTTGGTCTCTTTTTGGTCTTTTTTTCTATTCGCTGAGAGAAGTTAATATTATCAATATGTATATACATAGATTTGTAATTTAATATTTTAATTTTTCAGATGATAAGTAATTTATCGTCCTATAATAGTTGGTTCGTCAGCCATTGCTATTTCTTCAGTGGGCGCTTTATCTCTTTTTCGTTTTTTCGAAAAGAGCATGAAAGCACAACCTGAGAGCAAATTAATTATAAAAACAAGCCACGCTAAAATCAAAGAGAAATCGTAGGATGTGGTTGCACCGTGGGGATGAATTTCTGGCATAAAATGTTTTTGAAATTCAATTGACGAAAGAAGCACTTGTATAACCACCATGACACAGGCACCTGCAAAAAAAAGAAGAAAATCAAGAATTAATTTTCATATTATTTTCAATAATTCAATTTTCATTTTTAACTCATTCAAAAAATTTGATTAAATTATTTTTTCTTTAAATTATTATTTCTTTTCCTCCTAATTCAAAAATTTTTTCTTGACTAAAAATTAAAGTATTTAATTATTAATTCTTCTGAATTAATAATACTAGATATTTAATTATTTATTAATTATCAATTAATTAATAATTAATTGTAAAATTCGTTTTCTAATAAAAAAATAAATTTAGATCACAAACCTTTTAAAACAAAATTATAATTTAATAAAGAATTGATTATTAATTTTGTTTTTACAAAATTAATAATCAATTCTTTATTAAATTATAATTTTGTTTTAAATAAATTATTATTATTATAATTAAAAATTATAAACTATTTTAAACATGAAAATTGAATGAAAGAGAAAAAGAAATAATAAATTTTGGTATTTGAATAAAAAATGTAATTTTATAATATAGAATATAGAATTAAAATTTAATATTCAATTTCAATATTACGTGTATGATGAATGAGCTGAAAGTATGAAATTACATGAAAAACGTATTTCACCTGTAATAAAGTGGATTCCGCCAGCTAATCGCTTGAACATGTAGCGTGGATTACGGAACGTGTAGATAGAAAATCCGAAACCCATTATCATAATAAACAAACTGATCACGGCAAACGAAACTTCTGTTCTCGAGTAATCTAATAATAAAAAATTTTATCAATTATTATTTAATAATATAATTTACATATATTAAAGTAAATAATGTTTATGGAAAAAAATTAATAAATAATATATTAACAATAATAATAAAAATATTTATCATAATAAAAATAATAATAATAATAATAATAATAATAATAATAATAATAATAATAATAATAATAATAATAATAATAATAATAGCGAAAAAACTAATAATAATAAAATAACTATTTTATTCTTTATACAATTTTACAAAATTCATTAATTTATAATAAATAATAAGAAAATAATAAAAAAAAATCAATTTATATTTATAAATTGATTTCATTGTGGGGAAAAAATTTTTACCAAGAATTATTATAAAATAATTTAGTTTAATTTTACAATTATTTAATAATAATATTTAATTGAATTAATTTGTAATAATTTATAATAATTAAATTTAATAATTTTATATTAATTCGCTAACTTTGATGTTTTTGCGTGGAATCGCTCATATTTATCAGTCGCTGACTTGTGAGTTAATGAGCCCGAAATTTTAGGCCTTGTTCCAAAAATTTAATTACTCTCCTTGCCTTACACAATAAAATATTGCAATTGTCCATATCTATTGTTCTACATACCAAGAATTTTAGTATTTGGCTATAATTAAATTGAATTTCTATTGAAAACAAATTTTTTCTTCTGTTTCAAGTTCATCTTATTTTATTTTTTCATTTATAATTAATTTTTCTAATTTACCTTCCAAGTTTAATTTTCAATTTTTAATTTTTACTATCAATTTTTTATTTTAATTTTATTTTTTTTCCTTATTTTGCTTTCAAGCTTAATTTTCAATTTTTTATTTTTATTTTTATTTCAATGTTATTTCTCTAATTTTCCTTTTAAGTTTAATTTTTAATTTTTACTTTCAATTTTATTTTTCTAATTTTCCTTTCAACTTTAATTTTCAATTTTTAATTTTTACTTTCAATTTTATTTTTCTAATTTCCTTTTCAAGTTTAATTTTCAATTTTTAATATTTACTTTCAATTTTATTTTTCTAATTTTCCGTTTAAGTTTAATTTTTAATTTTTATTTTCAATTTTATTTTTCTAAATGTCCTTTCAAGTTTAATTTTCAATTTTTATTTCAATGTTATTTTTCTAATTTTCCTTTCAAGTTTAATTTTCAATTTTTAATTTTTATTTTTTTATTTTTATTTCAATGTTATTTGTCTAATTTTCCTTTTCAAGTTTAATTTTTAATTTTTAATATTTACTTTCAATTTTATTTTTCTAATTTTCCTTTTAAGTTTAATTTTTAATTTTTACTTTCAATTTTATTTTCCTAAATTTCTCTTCAATTTTAATTTTCAATTTTTATTTTTAAATTTAGTTTTCATTTTTTAATTTACATTTAAATTAAAATTTTTAATTTTAATTTTCAATTTTCAATTTTCAATTTTCAATTTTCAATTCTCAATTTTTAATTCTAATTGCAATTTTCAATTCTCATTTTTACTGTTAGATTTCAATTTTTAATTTTAATTTTTAAATTACAACTTATTTACATAATTTTGTTTACAGTATAAATTTTCTTTTTGAAATCTAATTATTCTCAATATCGTAAAATCTGTAGTTTCATTTGCATTTAATTAAAAATTTTTACAGTTAATTTAAAAATTACTTCATTTTTCCCAATTGTAATAATTTTTTAAGAAAAACGAAATTTATTTATAAAAATTGAATTTTCATTAACTTTCCAAAGTTGTTCTGCGTTTGTTATTTTAGGATTTTTTTCTGTTTTTACTTTTATCAATTTCCATATTGAAAATCAATTCTTAACGTAGAAATTCAAATTCCAGTGGTTAGTTTTTCTTTTCTTTTTTTTGCTTTCTTTTTTGATTCACTGTTTATTTAATATTTAAATTCAACTTTGAATTATTCAAAATGAAAAGTAAATCGAAACTTCTACTAAGACGTTGAAGGACGATTTTTCCGTCACATTTTCATTTTAATCAAAATAAGTAATTTTATTTATCGTTTCTGTTCTTTATTACATTGAAATTAAATTGAATGAAATTAAAATGAAATTTTAAATACTTACTGAGTACTGTTATATTAAGACCCGGATCTCTTCTTATTTCCCGTTCAGTTGGAAACATCTCCTGATGCTTGCACTCACCTGAAAAAGCAATTAATTTAAATTTCATTTACAATTTAGCAAAAAGAAAAAGAAAATTTTCAAATTGATTTTTCTCAACCCCTGGAAAAGAAGAACATTTCTTCTCGTAAATTTTTAACATCTGGGAAAGAAAGAGAAAAAGAGAGATATAAATATTTTCTTTATTGTTTTTTCTCTCGATAATGTTCAGTTTTCTGTATAAAAAATAATAAATTGTAATTATATTTTAAAAATTATATAAATTATCGAAAAATTTAATATAAAATTTAATAAAATTTAATGTAAGAATAATAGAAAATTTAATATAAAAACATAACTATTCCAAAAATAATATATTATAACAATTCTAGAAAAATTAATAAAATTATAATTTTTTAAGAAAAACCTCTTATTATGGAAAAAAACCAGGAAAATAATCTCGTTTATTTTTTTAAACTGAAACGCTAAAAGAAATGTTTAATATTGTGTTGATCAAACCGGAGACAACTGACCACTCTCATAATTTTTCAAGGAATATTTACGATCACCGCAAAACTTATAAAAGTAATGAAAACTTTTACCGTCTCGCACACACATATTATTATATACACACACTGGACGAGATTAGTTTTCGCTTTTCATGCTTCTCGTCGAGTTGGAGATATAAAAAATAAAAAGAAATTTTCATTATTCAATGGAGTCGCGCACAGTTAGAAATATACAGTTTTACGTTATTTCATAAATTAAAAAATACTTTTCTTCGCACGGCCATTTGAATGAAATTGTTTTCAACTCTATTTTTAAACTTGGATGAAAATTACGAGCTTTCTTAATTTGCACAACACTTTCTCATTCTCGCACATGAATTATTGAGATTTATAATTATATTAAAATTTTTCTCCACTCACATACCATACCACTATTTTTTCGAATTGGAAATTTTTTCTTTTTGACCTATTTATCTAGATAATTTTAACTTCTTCGATTTTTAATTTAATGATTAATTAATTTTTTCATTAATTATCTTTTATTTTTTTATTAATTATCTTTTTATAAATTAACAACTTTCTGGTTCCGAATATCTGTTCTCAGATTTACTACTAAATTCTTGTTTAGTTGTTATTTTTTATCTGAAATTAATTTTTGTCTATCAAAAATTGATTTAATTTTTCCATATAAAATCTGTCTGATTACTTTTTGACCTTTTCTACTCAAATCATAAAATCGGTCTGACTATAATTTGACCTTTTCTACTAAGATTTTGTTTATTTACTAACATTTCATAAAAAAAATTTTATTTTGTTTAATCGAATTTATATTAATTGCTGTTTAATATTTCTTTCACGGCTCGATTACATTTTTTCATAACTATAAAACATGAAGAAATCAATAACTCCGAATCTTCGATTTAGAGTGATCGATTTCTTCATGTTTTATAATTATTAAAGATGTGCCAGTGATAAAATAATTATTTTATATTACAAAAATATTGTACTTCTTCAAAATTATTTTCATCATTTCAATTATTATTTTCAAAAATTTTTAACTAAAAATTCTACTTCAAATCAATTATTTTTAATAATTTCCGAAAAAGTTCTGAGTCAATTTTCAAATCCATTTGTTTACAATATTCAATTTCACGAAATTTCAATTATTCCTAAATTCTTCAATTAAATGCATCTTAGAAAATAAAAACTTCAAATATTTTCAAAATAAATTTAATAAAATTCTTTTAAAAAAATTAATTCTACAGAATTGTTACTTAAAAGTATGAAAAATTTAGATTTTCAAAGATATTAATTAGAAACTTATTCGAAATTCAATTATTTTTAAAAATCCACGTTACAATGCTTTTAATATTTAATTATAATCTAAAATTTTAACTGAAATTTATTATTAAAACAATTTTTATTAGTAAATTCTACGAGAATTCAATTATTTAAATACATATATAAATAATTTATTAATTTAATGTTTCTTAAAATTATATTCTCTTAAAAAAATTTTATCAACAAATTTTTAAATAATTAAATTCTTTAGACGAATTTTAATAAAAATTTTAAGAATAATTACATTTTTCGAGGAATTAGATTAAAATTGCATTAAAAATAATTGAAATTCCGCAATGAGTTTTATTATTTATAAAAATAATTGAATTCCTAAAAGAATTTTATTATTTATAAAAATAATTGAATTATTTAGAATAAATTAATTAATTATTTCTAAATAATTGAATTCCTGTAGAAATTGTTATTATTTATGAAAGTAATTGAATGTTTGCGTAGAATTGTATTCAATTTTTTTTTAATAATGAAATTCTATTGAAAAATTTTATTAAAATAGTAAATATTGAATATCATTGAATTTGAGAAAACTTTTGAAAATAATAGAAATTTTGCCAAGAATTTGATTTAAATTTTGGAAAATAATTGGATGTCAGAGAAGAATTTTATTATTTAAGAAATTTATAAATAATTGAAATTTCAACGAATACTTGCAATAATTTGTAACTTCTCCAAAATTAAATTTTTTTCTACTGTTTTTAACTAAAATTCTTCTATAAATCCATTATTTTTAATAATTTTCGAAAAAGTTCTTTGAGAATTTTCAAATTTTTTTGTTTACAATTCAATTTTACAAAATTTTAATTATTCGGAAATTCTTCAATTAAATATATATTAGAAAATAAAAATAAAAAGTCTTTCTCTACTCAAATCAAAAAATCGGTCAGACTATAATTAGACCTTTTCTACTTAATTCTTGTTTGTGTTATTTTATTTTATTTAAAGAAAAAAAAATTATATTTTCTTTAATCGAATTTACATTTGGCTGTCTAGAAACGTCATTTTCTACTGAAATCGTAAAATCGGTTGGACCAGAATCTGACATATTCTACTTAATTCTTATTTATTTATTATCTTTTTTTCTGAAATTAATTTGTGTCTGTCTAAACTTAATTTTTTTCCTTTTTTTCATAGTTTCAATTTTCAATTGATTTTAATCTTTGAATTATTTATTTTTATTCTTACCTTATTTTTACTTCATTTATTAATAATATGTCTGACTATAATTTGACCTTTTCTACTTAAACGTATAGTAAATCCTTAAAAAATATTTCAATTTATTTCATCAAATTGATATTTTCATTTCTATAGGAAAAGCTTTTCTACTGAAATCATAAAATCGGTCGGACTGTTAATCGAAACTTTTCTACTTAATTTTTGTTTATTTATTATTTTTTTTAGTTAAAATTACTTTTTCTCTGTCTTATTTGACTTTTTTTTCAGAAAAAAAAATCGTAGTATTTACCCCTTTTAAAAGTAAATCAGTAGAAAAAAATGTCACTTAACTATATTTATAGAATTTTTATATTTTATATATATATTGGCTTCTTTTCTCACTGAAATTATAAAATCGGACGACTTTTTCTACTTAATTTTTATTAATTTATGAATTTTCAATTACTTTTGGAAACTTGGGTTCATTTTTTTTTTATATTGTTATTTTATTCCGAAAAATCTGTCCGACTATTGTTTGACCTTTACTACTTAAAAAAGTAAAACATATTAAATTCTAGTCTGACTATAGTGAGGCTTCTTCTCCTTAAAAACAACGTTTTTTTTCCCTTCTTTAAGTCGAGTTTTTTCCACAGTATAAATTCGTAAGTTTTTTTTTTTTAAAGCATACAACACGATGATTCATTTTAATCGAAAAATTGTCTAATGGGAAAATAATTTATGAAGTTAAAAGTTTAATATGACGTGGGACGTGTGATTCTTGAGTGACTTTTTCTTGGCGATACACTTGCGCGTCTTTTATATATTGACTTTCAATTGTTAGAAATTTACCAGACTCTCTGGGGCGGTATGCTTTTGCTGGGTCGAAATGGTTGGTGTCAAATAAATGTCGGTCCAGAAATAAACGATAAAGACAGATAGATATACGTGCCAAGTGAGAGAAAGGCCTTCCTTTGGCAAACTGACGCCTGGGTAATATTGCACATATGTATTATTATACTCACACACCTCTCTACATATATATATATATATTACATTTATACCCCGTATGTATATATATACATTTAAATATATTCATATATATTCATGTATGAATGTTTCCCCACGTGCATTACATGGAAATGACCGTCAAGTGGAAATTTGAATAAAAAAGAAATTGGAGAAAATGTCCAACTGTAATAAAACAGGGGGTCATGTTGGGAATAGCGGGGTAAAGGGGGAAATGCGCGAGTATAATTAAAGCACAGTAGCCACCACTGAATCTCCAATTAAGCTCAGATTAGTGGAAGCTAGGGGACAATTATTTCTTTTTTACTTAACCGCAAGAGATGAAAAATCTCTCTATTATTTATACAGTCAACTTGTAAAGTTAAATTTCAATTTTTTTTTCTTTCGTTTCTCCCGTATGTTTAATTATTTTTTACAGTGCAGTTATTTTCTATATATAAATTCCTGATTTATTTATCATAATCTATTAGCAGATATTCTAAATTCAATTTCTTCTCAAAAAATAATTAAAAATTTTATTAATTATTTAATTAATTCAATTAATTATTATAATTATTATTTAAAGAACAGGGTTCGAACTAGGACCGTAACCGTAATGTTCCGTAAATTTTCTTTAAGTCAGTAAAAGTCAGTTTGTTTGAAAAATGGTCCGTAAAGTTCATAATTTGATTGAAAAAGAATGAAAAGTTCGTAAATTGTTGGATATAATTTAAAATTTTTTAAAGAAATTATAGATTGCAGAAAAATTCAATTATTTTCAATTAAGTAATAAAATTCTTCGCAGAAATTTAATTGTGTTCAAAATTTTTTTTAAATTCTCGTCCAAATTTTCAATTATCTTCGTAAATAATAAAATTCTTTTCGTAATTCAATTATTTTCCAAAATTTTAATCAAATTCTTGGCAAAATTTCAATTATTTTCAAAAGTTTTCTCAAATTCAATGATTTTCAATATTTAGTATCTATTTTAATAAAATCTTCCAAAAGTATTCCATTATTTAAAAAAAATTTGAATAAAATTCTGCGCAAACATTTAATTACTTTCATAAATAATAACAATTTTTACAGGAATTTAATTATTTTCATAAATAATGAAACTTATTGAAGAAGTTTAATTATTTTTAATGAAATTTTAATCTAAATCCTTGAAAAATGTAATTATTCTTAAAAATTTCATTAAAATTCGTTCTAAAGAATTTAAATATTTAGAAATTTGTTGATAAAATTCCTTATGAGAATTCAATTTAAAGAAACATTAAATTCAATAAATTATTTATTTTTGTATTTAAATAATTGAATTCTAGTAGAATTTTCTAATAGAACTTGTTTTAAAAATCAATTTTAGTTTAAATTTTAGATTATAATTAAATATTAAAAATTTAAAAGCATTGTAACGTGGATTTTTATATAAATAATTGAATTTTGAAAAAAGTTCAAATTAAAATCATCGAAATTCTAAATTTTTCATATTTTTAACAAACAATAGAATTAATTAGAATTATTAGAATTAATTCTCTTAAAAAAGTTTAATAGAATTTTTTTTTGCAATTATTTTAAGTTTTTATTTTCTATAATATATATTTAATTGGAGAATTTCCGAATAATTGAAATTTTATAAATTTGTATTGTAAACAAATTAATTTGAAAATTCTCTGAGAACTTTTAAAAAAATTATTGAAAAATGGATTTATAGAATTTATTTTTAATTAAAAACACTAGAAAAAAATTTAATTTAATTATTTAAAAATTTGTTGATAAAATTCTTTATGAGAATTTAATTTTTAGAAGCATTCAATGATTCAATAAATTATTTACTTTTGTATTTAAATAATGGAATTCTCGTGGAATTTTCTAATAAAAATTGATTTAAAAATGTATTTCAGTTAAAATTTTAGATTATAATTGAATATTAAAAGCGTGAATTTTGAAAATAATTATTTTAAAAATGGGTAAAATAAACAAAATCTAAGTAGAAAAGGTCAAATTTTCGTCCGACCGATTTTATAGTTTAGTAGAAAAAGACGTTTCAAGACAGACAAATATAAATTCGATTAAACAAAATATAATTCTTCTCTCTAAAATAAAATAAAATAACACAAACAAGAATTAAGAAGAAAAGGTCTAATTATAGTCCGACAGATTTTATGATTTGAGTATAAAAAAAGACGTTTCTTGACAGACAAATATCAGTTTAATTACTTTATTTTGATAGAAGAAAATTCTATTGTATAAAAGGTCAAAAATAATCAGACAGATTTTTCATTAAAAAACTATTTAGACAGACAAAAATTTATTTCTGATAAAAAATAATAATAAAAATTGAGTAGAAAAGGTCGGATTATAGTCAGACCGAATTTACGATATCAGTAGAAAAAGACATTTTTAAACAGACAAATATAAATTCTATTAAACAAAATAACATTTTTTTTATTTTAGAAATGTTAATAAATAAATAAAATCTGAGTAGAAAAGGTAACAATATAGTCAGACCATTTTTACGATTTCAGTAGAGAAAGACGTTTCCAGACAGCCAAATATAAATTGAATGATAAAAAACAATTTTTTTTTCTTAAAAAAAAGAAATAATATTTTATTTAATTTTTTTAGAGAAAAAAAATAAGAACTAAAAGTAGATAAGGTCAAAACAGTCCGACCGATTTTATACGATTCAAGTAGAGAAAGACGTTTCTAGACAGCCAAATATCAGTTTATTTTGATACAATCGTATAAAATCGGTCGGACTGTTTTGACCTTATCTACTTTTAGTTCTTATTTTTTTTTTCTAAAAAAATTAAATAAAATATTATTTACTTATAAGTAGAAAAAGTCATATTTTTATACTCAGACCAATTTTACGATTTCAAAGTAAAAATAAGTCATCTTTACTAAGTCAGACCAAATTTTTTGTATGTATAATTTCAATCACAATGTCTTATATCTATATATTGTAACGGAAGATATTTACAGAAATGGATATTTTAAAATTTTGTATCTAAATACACCTTGAGGATAAAATCGATCTCACAGCATGGAATGGATAAATAAAATATCTGACGTTCAAAATGGTCGTTTACGTAAATGATGTTTAAACATTAGAGAAACGATGATGATTGATCGGATTTTCCTCGAATGTGTGCTTTTTCATATTACACGCTGGAAAAGTGATGCATTAAAAATTCTAAAGAAATTCGATTATATTTTGTTTTTGTTTTTTTGCATTTAAAGAAAAAATTGTAATTTAATTGCGCAAATATAGAAACGATCGAAACTGAATCTAATTATAATGTATCTTTAAATATATTAGGAGCATTATTCTAACTATGTCTATGCTCTAAATTTAATTTAATTAGTTAAAATTACTATTTATTAGTAAAATTCACTAATTCGAAAGCAAAAAATCAGTCACTAATTTAAATTAGTAAATTTTAGTAATAAATATTAATTTCTGATGATAATTAAATTTTTACGAGACCTATTACCGAAAAAGATGTTTTTAAATTTAAACTTGAAATTTTTTTTTTTTTTTTTTTTTTTGTTGAAAATTTCTGAAAAAATTGAATCTCCGAACTTTTGAATAGTAATTTCTTTAAATTTATTAGTAAAATTTACTAATTCAAAAGCAAAAAGTCAATCGCTAATTCAAATTTATAAATTTTACTAGATAAAAATAAATTTTACGAATAAATAGTAATTTTTACTAACTTATGAGTAAAATTTGCTAATTCAAAAGCAGAAAGTTAATTACTATTTCAAACTAGTAAACATTTTTACTAATTAATTTTTTCTGCTATACTCTCTAAATTTAAGTTAGTAACAATGTTTAATAATTGAATTAGTGACTTACTTTTTGCTGTAGAATTAGTAAATTTTACTAATAAATTTATAGAAATTACTATATTTATTAGTAAAATTAAGTAATAACAATTATTATTATATTTTTATTATTATATTTTAATAAAATTACATTCTATTAAAATACAATTAATTTATTAGTAAAATTTACTATTTAGAAAACAAAAAGTCATTAAATTTGAATAAGTAAAAATGTTTACTAATTGTGATTAGTGACTACTAATCACAATTAGTAAATATTTCTACTAATTCAAATTTAGTGAGTCGGAGAACTTCGCAAATAATATTTATTTATTACTAATATAGAATGTAATAAATAAAATAATTTAGAAAATGAAAAAAAAATAATAAAAATAAATAAATAAATATTGTAAATAAAATACACTCACTTTTGGTGTGCCATTCGATGATAGTATTATTGATTGGAATTTTGTACGTGATACAAGTTCTCCAGAGGCCGACATTTTTCTTTAAGAGTCGTCTATTTGGAATTCCTCTGTCTTTCATCGGAAGTCCTTGATCGTCGGGCGCTGCCACTGAAAACCAATGATCAGTTCCAATTGCAACTGCCCAGATGCAAATTGAAAGTCCAACAAGAATAGTGCAAGCCAATAGAACTCTTCTCTCGAATACCACCTGAAATTATACCCCAATTTTTTTTTTTTCTTATTTTCTCTCTTTTCTCCATTATCAATTTTTCGCCTGATATTAATTGGGAAAAATTGATTTTCACGTCATAAACACACTCTCTTGTTTATGAAATTCAAAAAAGAAAAATATCGTAAAAACTTCTCTCTTGTTTCTTAAAGAAAAATAATATTTAAACAATTTAAACAATTAAAACAAAAATTCTTTGAATATTTGTTTATTTTCTCGAAATGTTTGACCGACTGGAAGAATTTATTAATAAATCGTGTATAGTACCTACTAAAGTCTTTTATGTTCAAAGGAAACTGTCAAACCGCAAAATTTTCATGTATGATAAGCTCTAAAATTTCAAAGTTTAGTAACAGTTTATTATAGTAATTTAGTTTGGAAAATAAATTATGTTTAGAATAGTTTATTTTAGAATAGAATTGTTTCATACGTGTGTAAACGTTATATTTATCAGAAGTTTAAAAGTATAATTTAATTTTTATAATATGCTTCAAAAAATGTTTTGTTTTCAAATTAACTCACAAGAAAATTATTAATAACCAACTACATAACGACCAACTACTGTCAAGTAAATTTTTAATTAAATAATTTTTAATCCGAACCAAATAGATTTTTACTTGAACCAAATTATTTTTAATAAAATCAAATAAATTTTGGATTTGTACTAATAATTTCAGTATTCGAAGCAAATAAATTTTTACTTGAATCGAATAATTTTTCTTTGTGGTAAATCAACATTTACTTGAATCAAACAAATTTTATTGAAATTAAATTAATTTTATTGGAACCAACAATTTCAGTATTTGATTCAAATAAATATTTACTTGAATCAAATAATTTTTCTCTGTGGCAAATCAACATTTACTTGAATGAATTAATTTTTATTTTAATTAAAGAAACTTTTATTTTAATTAAAGAAACAATTACTTGAATCAAACAAATTTTATTCAAATCAAATTAATTTTATTAGAACCGATAATTTCAGTATTTGATTGAAATAAACATTTACTTGAATCAAATAATTTTGATTTTAATTAAATAAACATTCACTTGAACCAAATAATTTTTATTCAAAACAAATAAATTGTTTTGAAACAGTATTTTCAGTATTTTATGCAAAATAAATATTTACTTGAATCAAATAAATAAATAATATAATAAATAAATTTTTATCTGAATCAAAAAAATTTCATTCGAACCGTTATTTTCAGTATTTTAATCAAAGAAACATTTACTTGAATCAAATAAATTTTATTGAATTCAAAAAAATTGTATTTGAACAACAAATAATAATTTCAGTATTTGCAGTAAATAAAAATCACAAATAAAAATAAATAAATTTAAAAAAATATAAAGAATAATTATTTGATACAAATAAATATTCGCTTAACAAAACACAACTAATCATTATAGGAAACAAAAAATAAAAATAGGAAAAAATTTAATTAGTTTTACAGAAAAAATTAAAAATAGAAATAAAATAAAGAAACTTTTACAAAAAGAAAAAAAGAAAAGTGCGAAGCAAGTTTATGAACTTTGACCAAGTTTTTGATTTAAAGGTGAGATTATTTGCTCCCTAAATATAATGATATTGAACGTAATATTTTCTTTGTTATCGAGTGCCTGAGGCTCTTCGATAATTATGTTATCGATACTGGCGTTACTTTATACAACGAGGCTTTGAGTGGTTGTAAAACTAATCGACAATCCATCAATATTTATACACACACACAAACATAAACTCATCTATCTATCCATCCATTGGCATAAAAAAGCAACAGTCTATAAAGATTGCTTCAATAAACCAAGCGAAACTTGCACTGTAAACTACAAACATACTCCCACATAAATATTATCACTATTAATCACTCTAATTAACATAAAAAGAAATTAATCTAATTAATTAAATTGCCTTTATAAATGCACCTAATGATTTTTCTGTTATTTATAATAAAATATAAATATACTAAATTCACAATAAAAAAACTTATACTTATACTAATAAACTGTATAATTAAATTGTATGTATTTAAAAATAGTTTCAAAGTGTAAACAATTTTGATTTTCCCACACTCGACCGTTAAAGTTTATAATTATCCAATTACAAACTTTGGTGATAATAAGTGTTAATAAATTTAAAGATAATAAATGTTTTTAGATCAGGAAACAATTTTAATAAGAAAAAACTTTCCTCATTTTTTTGAATTTCAAAAATTATTAATTAATTATTGTAAATTTTAGTGCTTTAAACTTTTAATATAATGGGAAAATAAAATTTGTTTACCCCTTCGAAAAATTATAATGTTCGCATTTTGAAAAATTGAAAACAATTTCAAGGGAATCTTGATTAATAACTTTTCTAAAACATCTTCTTAGTCGAGAGTTTTTATCTCTCATCCCAATCCCCACGAGATAATTGAATAAATTTATCTTTCAAAAATAAAATATGATCACAAAAATATGTATATTAATTAATTTTATACACAAATGAGGCATTAATTAATTAATTTACGTAGGTATTTTCTACCAAATTGTTTTCTTCTTTTTTCGTAGAATTATTTTTTTATTATTGTTTAATTATTATTTTTCGAAATTTTTTATTTTATTATTAATAATTAATTTATTATAATCAATTTATTGTTTTTTTAAAAAGTATAATTTTTCAAAATATAATTCTTCAAAAGTACCATTATAAATTATAAATACATTAACTGAAAAAGTGTGAAAATAAAAAAGTTATTTAAAAAATTAATTTTCAAAAATTCAAGAGAAAAATTATTACTTTTAAAAATAATTGAATTCTTATGATTCATATTGTTAGTTATAAAAATAAATTGAATTGTGCAAATAATTTTATTAAAATCCCTCAAAATAATTGAATTTTCGGGAATAATTTTGTTATTTATCTTTAATAATTTATTGAATTCTTTCGAAGAATTATTATTTATGTAAATAATTGAATTATTGCGAAAAATTTTATTAAAATATTTACAAAGAATTGAATTTCTGTGAAAAAGTTGGTTATTTTTGAAAATAATTGAATTCTTCATAACGAATTTTATTAAAATAGTATTAAAAATAATTGGTTCGATGAGTTTTATTATTTATGAAAATAATTGAATTCTTGTTTAGAATTTTATCAAAATTTTTTTTTAAAAATTCAATTTTCATGATAACTGTTATTATTAGGGAAAGTAATTAAATTATTGTGAAGAATTGTATAAAAATTTTGTTAAATAATTGATTTTTTCGAAATTTTTTTGAAAATGATATTCTAAATTGAATTCTTGTGGGAATTTCATTATTTAAAAAAACAATTGAATTTTATCAATTTTTCTTTTTAAGGGCATTTGAACCATGATGACGTCACAGATTTAAAACTAATGCTTTGCACAAACTGTGACGTCATCAAGGTTCAAATCCCCTTAAATAATTGAATTATTTTGTGGAATTTTATGAAAATATTTGAAAATAATTGAACTTCTGTGAAAAATTCCAATATTTTTGTAAATAATTGAATTCTTCCAAAGAATTTTAAAAAAATATTTTTTTAAATAATTAATTTTTTTTGAGGAATTGAAATTAAAATTTTTAAGAATAATTACATTTTTTTTAGCAATTCCTGTAAATTTGTATTAAAAATAATTGAAATCCTGTGATGATTCTTATTATTTATGAAAATAATTGAATAGTTGCAAAGAATTTTATTAAAATTTTCAAAAATAATTGAATTCCTGAGGAGAATTTTATTATTTATGAAAATAATTGAATTATTGTGAAAAATTTTATTAAAATGTTTAAATAATTTAATTAGTGTAAAGAATTGTATAAAAATTTTGTTAAATAATTGATTTTTTCGCAATTTTTTTTAAAATGCTATTCTAAATTAATTAAATTTCTCTGGAAAATTTTATTATTCATGATAATAATTAAATTTTGGATGAATTTTATCAATTTTTCTTTTTAAATAATTGAATTCTTTTGCGAAATTTTATGAAAATATTTTACATTGAAAATAATTGAATTTTGAATTATTATCATTATTAGTAAAGACAAAAAAAAATCTAGGCAATAAATAATTTTCGAGAAACAGGAAAAATTGAAAAAAACCATAAAAATATTTACAGTATTTTTTTGCATTCATTTGTTCAATAAAACGAAAAGGAAAAAATATCGAATATAAAAAAAACTACTTACTTGGTTGTAGAGTGCTTTCATACGACTCGCCATTTTGTATAAATATACGAATAAATTGCGATGGAATATATGTATATTTTTTTTTCTCTCCTCAATACGACCAATAAACAGTTTCACGATATGGCAGCTATTTTATTATTATTATTATTTTTTTTTTAAATTGTCGATCAATATAATCCCTCTCTATTTTCAAGGACTAATGGAAGATACTTATGAGATGAAAGCAAATATTGCCAACTGTTTACTTTATATTGTTTTCTCCTCTAAGTATATATAAGCGGCTTATCGGCATCTAAACGACGTGTATCTATGATTTTCTCTCGCGCCGGAAAATCGGCGCGAATCGACAATAAATTTCTGAAGACTCTCGTCCAAAATAAATCGATTGATCTGCAGCCCATTTATAAATTTTCTCTTCATCAAATAAAATTATTTATTTTCTTCTTTCTTTCTTAAAAATTGAATTAATATAATGTATATATTTTTTTTCTATTCTCCTTGGACTTTTTTTTTCAAACACAAAAAAGAAAGACCAATGTCTCGAGAAAAGATTATTTCTCCACTCCTCTTGTCAAGTGCTCTTCGGGAATCTGAAATCAAAAAGGGGAAAATGTGAAAATAATGTTGATATTATTGACAGAAAAAGGGGGAAAATTATTTTCTAATCGGTTGTATTTATTTATTCAAAATTTGTTTACTGAAAATTTTTATTTACTAAAATTTATTTACTATAAATTCTTATTACTTATTTTATTTTATTATTTATTTACTTAAGCATTTATTTTTGAGACCTAATGGCTTTCGCCATTAGGCCACAAAAATAAATACATCTTTCATATAAATTTTTATATTTTTTAAAATTTCTCTACTACAATTTTTTATTTATTTAAAATTTCTTTAATATATTTTTTTATATCAGTTAAATTTAGTTATTATACTTTTTTTTAACTATTAACATTTATTTACTATAGAAAATAAATGTTCATAAATATTAATAAATAAAAAATAAATTTTAATAAGTAAAAAACTATAGTTTTTTATTTATTATAATTTATTCGTTAAAATTTTCCATTTATATTAGTTCCATTTGGTATCGATATAATAACAAATTAGAACAAATTTGTGATTTAAAATCGATCTTTAAAAATAAACACCTTCTGCAAGCAAAATATTAATTTATTAATGCATAAGGAAAAACTTATTATTTATTAAAATTTTAGAAAATAATTAAATTTTTTCGCAAAATATTTAAAATTTTTTTAAAGAATTGAATTTTTGGAAAGAATTTTACTTTTTTTTAAAAATAATTGAATTGTTTCGAAGGATTATTAAAATTTTAGAAAATAATTATTCAATTCTTTCGAATAATTTTATTAAGAATAAATTAAGAAAAACAAAATTGAATTCTTTTGTGAAATTTAATTAAAATTCTATTAAAAATAAATAAATTTTAAAAAATAATTCAATTCTTTTGAAAAATTTTATAACGAATTTAGAAAATATTTCAATGTTTTCGTGAAATTATATTGAAAATAATTAAATTTTTACAGAGATTTTACTATAATTATATACTATTTAAAAAAAAGAATTGAATTATTTCGTATTAATTAAAATTTTATAAAATAATTCAATTTTTGCAAGAAATCTTAATATTTATAAAAAATAAATGAATTCTTTCGACGGATTTAATAAAATGTTCAAAATAATTAAATTATTTTTCTAAAAATTAAAAATTTCTTTAAAAATCGAATTTTTGCAAAGAATTTTACTAATTTTAAAAAATCATTGATTTGTTTCAAAGGATTTATTAAAATTTTAGAAAATAATTGAATTCTTTCGAATAATTTGATTTAAAATTTTAAAAAACTGAATTGTTTCGAAGGATTTATTCAAATTTTTGCAAAGAATTTTACTATTTAAAAAAATAATTGAATTCTTTCCAAGGATTTATTGAAAATTTTTAAAAATAATTGAATTTTTGCAAAAAATCTTACTATATTCATAAAAAAAAATTTTTTTCGAAGGATTTATTAAAATTTTCAAAATAATTAAATTACTTTTCTAAATATTAAAATTTTTTTTAAAAATTTAATTTTTCCAAAGAATTTTACTATATTTAAACAAATAATTGAATTGTTTTGAAGGATTTATTAAAATTTTCAAAAATAATTAAATTATTTTTTTAAATATTAAAAATTTTTTTAATAATTGAATTTTTGCAAAGAATTTTACTATTTTAAAAAATAATTGATTTGTTTCGGAGAATTAATTAAAATTGTAAAAAATAATTTAATTCTTTTGAAAAATGTTATAACGAATTAAAAAAAATTGATTTAAATTGATTTTTTCCGAGAAATTTTATTGAAAATAATTGCATTATTGTAATCTTACTATTTATAAAAATAATTGAATTGTTTCGAAGGATTTATTCAAATTTTAGAAAATAATTGAATTCTTTCGAAAAATATTATTAAAAAATTTTTTTAAATTTGATTGTTTTGAAGGATTTATTCAAATTTTAGAGAATAATTGAATTTTTTTGAAAAATGTTAAAGAAAATTTTAAATAATTGAATTCTTTCGGAGAATGTTATGATTTTTTAAAATAATTTAATGTTTGTTAAGAATTATTATAAAATTTGTTAATAATAATAATAATTTATAATTAAATAGTAAACGAAAAAATTCAATTATTTATTAAAAGAAGAAAGTGCATTCAACAAGAAAATGGAAAATATTTTAAAGAAAAAATTCCATTGCGTCGAATTAAAAAAAACCATTTTCTTTAAAGAAAAATAAAAAAACTTGTCTGTAATAAATTCATCCACTTGAATTCACTTCGAAAGTTCTTTAATTCTACGTGAAATGTTGCGGTTACAAAGGAGCTTTACACAATCTTAGTAAATTCAAATCCCGGGTATTAGTTAACTTGACGGATTTTCCCTCCGCATATACCTATGAGATTACAAATTTTCCCAGTTATCTTGAGTAACTTCCTAGAAACATGATTTTCACAAATTTTGTGGCATTATATTATACCTTAATATACGAAATATCGGAAAGAAATTTCTTCCTGGTTTCAGTAAAAAGAAATTTCTCTCCTTGTCCCTTTTCTTGTATATATATATATATATATATATAAAGAATTCGTCTCTATATCTTGACCGGATTTACTTGAAAAGGAAATGAAAAAGTTTTTTAGTTACAAAAGAAAATTGAGCTCCACTATATACTATCTACTTCCATTGATGTCTTTGTCGAAATTCCTCAACGGTAAAGAGACAATGTGTGATCGATTTTTTCTTTTTCTTTCAACAATTATAGGTATTATTATGGTATAGAGGTAATTGGAAAAAAAATCGCGGAAATCGTGTAAAAATATATAAAGAATCATTTCTCTTGTGCTGTGTTCTCCGCGCACTTTAGAAAAAAAAAGTTTTCTTGATTAAATTTGTCTTTTGTGTAAATGTCACAAAGGGAGAAAATTTCCTCTTTTAAATTACATAACTATAGGAGGAGGGGAATTTCTTCCTTTAAATTAACTATAGGGGGAGAAGGAAATTTTTTCTTTTAAATTAATTAGGGAAAAATTTGGCAGAGTTGCCACGCTTTTGTTCATTTCAAATTCCCTGACTTTTTCAAGTTTTCTAGGTAAAAAAACGAAATTTTTACAGGTTTTTAAATTTATATTTTACAAAATTTAAAAATATTAGTCATTATAATTTTTCCATAAAAAAATTTCTAATTCAAACCTTTATGAAATTAAACAACTTATAAAAAATTGTTATAAAACATGAAGAAATCGATCACTCGAGCAATCGATATCTTCATGTTTTACAATAATTAAAATTGACCGACTGATAAAATCAATATTTTATATTATAAAAATATTGTTACTCTAGCTTATTCAAAATTAATTTCATTACTTTAATTCAATTATTGTTTTCCAGAATTTTTAACTAAAATTCTTCTTTAAATTAATTATTTTTAATAATTTTTGAAAAAGTTCTTTGAGAATTTTCATATCAATTTGTTTAGAAATAAATTTTATGAAATTTCTATTTAGTCACTAATTCAAATTAGAAAACATTTTTACTAACACAAATTTCGTGAGTTTAATATTCAATTATAATTTCAAATTTTTAACTGAAATTCATATTTAAATCAATTTTTGTTAGAAAATTCTACGAGAATTCAATTATGTAAATACAAAAGTAAATAATTTATTGAAGAATTGAATGATTTTTAACATTCAACTCTCATACAGAATTTTACCAACAAATTTTTAAATAGCTAATTAAAATTCTTTTGACGAATTTCAATTCAATTTTAAAAAAAAATAAATTTTAGCAAAGAATTTTATTATTCATAAAAATAATTTAATATTCTTTGAAAGGATTTATTAAAATTTTAGAAAATAATTCAATTCTTTCGAATTATTTTATTAAGAATTAAGAAAAAAATTGAATTTTTTTTCAAAATTTAATTAAAATTCTATTAAAAATAAATAAATTTTAGCAAAGAATTTAACTATTTATAAAAATAATTGAATTTTTTGAAAGTATTTATTAAAATTTTAGAAAATAATTCAATTCTTTCGAATAATTAAGAAAAAAATTGAATTGTTTTGTGAAATTTAATGAAAATTCTATTAAAAATAAATAAATTTTAGCAAAGAATTTTACTATTCAAAAAAATAATTGAATTCTTTGGAAGGATTATTAAAATTTTAGAAAATAATTCAATTCTTTTGACGAATTTAAAAAATAATTTAATGTTTGCGTGAAATTATATTGAAAATAATAATTGAATTTTTACAAAAATTTTACTATTTCAAAAAAGAATTGAATTGTTTCGTATTAAATAAAATTTTGTTGAAATTATTAAATTTTTGAAAAAAATCTTAATATTTATAAAAATAAGTGAATTCTTTCGACGGATTTAATAAAATTTTAGAAAATAATCGAATTTTCGAATAAAATCTTACTATTCATAAAAATAAGTGAATTCTTTTGAAAAATTTATTAATATTTTAGAAAATAATTGACTTCTTAAGAAAATTTGATAAAAAATTAAAGAATTAAATTTTTTCCAAGGATTTATTAAAATTTTCAAAATAATAAATTAAATTATTTTTTTAAATATTAAAAATTTTTTTAAAAATTAAATTGTTGCCAATATAATTTTAATATTTTAAAAAATAATTGAATTGTTTCGGAGAATTAATTAAAATTGTAAAAAATAATTTAATTATTAAATTAAAATTATTGAAAAATGTTATAACAACGAATTAAAAAAAATTAAATTCTTTCTTGAAATTTTATTATATTATTTATTATTTTTGTTATTATTCTTTTTATGTTTATTATTATTTTTATATACATTATTCTTGTATTATTATTTTTTATTTTTGAATTATTTTTGTATTATTTTTTTTATTATTATTAAGTATATAATTTTTTGCGTACACTTTGGGAAGAATCGAACCCTGGACTCCCAAAACCTTAACAAACGCCCATGGCTATTGCTGACTTATTTATTTTTTCATTATTTTTTATACTCTTATTATTTTATTATTTTTTATTACTTTT